TGTGTGTGTGTGTGTGTGGGCAGAGAGATTGTGTGTGTGTGTGTGTGGGCAGAGAGATTGTGTGTGTGTGTGTGGGGGCAGAGAGAGATTTTGTGTGTGTGTGTGTGTGTGGGCAGAGAGAGACTTTGTGTGTGTGTGTGTGTGTGTGTGTGTGTGTGGGCAGAGAGAGACTTTGTGTGTGTGTGTGTGTGTGGGCAGAGAGAGACTTTGTGTGTGTGTGTGTGTGGGCAGAGAGAGACTTTGTGTGTGTGTGTGTGTGGGCAGAGAGAGACTTTGTGTGTGTGTGTGTGGGCAGAGAGAGACTTTGTGTGTGTGTGTGTGGGCAGAGAGAGACTTTGTGTGTGTGTGTGTGGGACGAGAGAGATTTTGTGTGTGTGTGCGGGCAGAGAGAGATTTTGTGTGCGGGCAGAGAGAGATTTTGTGTGTGTGTGTGTGGGCAGAGAGATTTTGTGTGTGTGTGTGTGTGTGGGCAGAGAGGTTTTGTGTGTGTGCGTGTGTGGGCAGAGAGAGATTTTGTGTGTGTGTGTCTGGGCAGAGAGAGATTTTGTGTGTGTGTGTCTGGGCAGAGAGAGATTTTGTGTGTGTGTGTGTGTGTGGGAGAGAGAGAGAGAGTGTGTGTTTGTCTATCTGTTTAAGGTTTGGCGGTTGTTTGAAGGCGAGAACTGGAGGCATCAGGAAGATCTTGGCGAGGTGCTCATCGTCATTGATAATGTGTTGAAGGCTGCGAAGAACATGGCAAAGTTTCTCCTCTCCCAGGAAGTACTGGATGACAAAGGGTACCATATTGGATGTATTGCATGTCTTTCTTCTGAGGAGGTCACTATGGCTTTACACTGTGGCACGTCGGAACTGGCGATCGATGAGTTGAGCATCATATCCTGTTCCTATGAAGACATCCTTCAACACCAGGGGAGGCTTGCACCGAAGATGGTGGAGCAGCAATGGCAGGAATCAAAGTCATAGAGTCATACAGCACAGTAAGGACAGGATGAGGTAACCATGGCTGGTACCTCCTCATCCGAACAGATCCTGTGTATGCATAGGGCTTGTCTGTAGGGGATGGCTGTTTCAATATGTTAAAGGTGGAACAGACTAACACACACTCATGCACCTGCGCGCGTGCGCGCACACACACACACACCCACACACACACACACAAATACACAAGTACTACCTCTCTAACATCTGCAGAAGGAGCGAGGCTCCAAAAGCTTGTGTTTTCAACTAAACCTGTTGGGCTATAACCTGGTGCCGTGTGTTTCTGACCTTGTCCACCCCATTCCAACACCGGCACCTCCACATCCTGACCAGGCACCATCTTCCTGGTCTTGGTCCGCTTCCTGCGACCTGACTCTCACTAAGTTCCCTCTCGACTCTCTACATTGGCTTCTGGTTCAGCAACACCTCCAGTTTAAAACTTTTGCATTGTTGTTTTACAACTCCTCATTGCCTTGCCTCTATCTCTGTAAGCTCCTCCAGCTGTACAAACTATTAGATCTCAATGATCCCACTGGATGTAGAAATGTGGGGAGGCCATTCACCCCTTTGATCTGTCCCATCATTCAATGTGGCTCAAACTTGTATCTCTGTCTTTATCCTGTGTCCCGAATGCCTCCCTCTAGGCAACAAAAATCTATCAAAATGACCTTTTAATATTAACATCTTAATATCTTGAAAATTTTGGTCAAATCATCCCATAACCTTCTAAAGTCCAGTGAATACGACCAGTTGTGTTTAATCCCTCCTAATTTAATCCTGCCAGTTCTGGTAATCTGATTAATCTGTCCTGCACTCTCCCTCCCAATATCCACTGCTCAGTCAATTCTGACTCTTGGAAATGTATAAATTCCTTTGATCCAACATTGGCTGTGATTTCAGCTGCCTTAGGCCCGAGGTCTGGAGTTTCCTGGCTCAGAGTCTCCTCCCTCCAGCTTTTAATTTAAAAGAAAATGACTGAGACTTTAGTCACCTGTTGTAATCTCTCCTTTTGAGTTGGAGTAAATAATTGTCTGATTTATGCTTGTGTAAACTGCCTTGGAAAGTTTTGCTACATTCAAGGTACTTTATAAATGCAAGTTGTTGTTATATACTCCCCTCAGCCCCTCATTTTATTGTTGGCAGTAGAACTTTGTTATTTTGAACAATCTCTGAATCTCTCCAGTCTCCTCTTCCTCAACTGGGGAAAAGAAAACTCCATCAAATCCTCCTGTTGGATCCGTTTTGTCTCAATGTTCATTCTGTAGTGCAGTTCTGACAGTGAGAGCTGTACCTTGTTTGTTGTAAGGGCTTGTTACTGAGCACTTGTTCTCTTTTAGCCGATGTTACAGGAGGTGACCTTTCAGATTTGGATCAGCCGCATTGCAACAAATGAAAACACTGTTGTCCCTTTTGTGTAGCCGATAGTTTCATTCTGAAAGAAAAATCAGCTGACGGTCAGCGTAAATGATAAATAACTCGAACTGTGTCTTTTACAATTCCTCAGGTTCTTTCTACAGGTGAGGTCTAATAACCAAAGATTTACATTTGACCCTTTGTCTGTTTTTTAGGCCATGAAGGTAGGATAGGAATGGCTGCCATTCAGCTGCAGAGTGGAAGGGACTTGGACAGGTCACAACTGTATGAATATCTGAGAACTCACCTTCCCAGTTACGCATGGCCCCGCTTTGTCAGGGAACAGGTTAGTCCTGAATAACATAACAGACCAAATAAAAACTGAAAGAACTGTGGACGCTATAAATCAGGAACAAAAACAGAAATTGCTAGAAAAGCTCAGCAGGTCTGGCAGCATCTGTGAAGGAAAAAAATCAGAGTTAACGTTTCGGGTCCAGTGACTCTTTCTCAGAACTGTTCTGTTAACCCAAAACGTTAACTCTGATTTTTTTCCTTCACAGATGCTGCCAGACCTGCTGAGCTTGTCCAGCAACTTCTGTTTTTGTTCCTGACAGACCATCTTTGATCTTTTACTGTGGGGCTAAATGGTGTAGGTTCTATCTCATATATCCTTTACCTAATGTATATCATATGCAGTCTATATTATAGACTTCTCTGAGCTGCAGTCTCCTCCCTCCAATCAGTGTTTTTTTCACATTCTGTCTGGAACTGAGGTTGGGCTATAAAAGAATTGATTTAATTGTCCAATTTTTAAATTGAGCAGCTTAAAGATTAAAGTGAGGTTAAACCATGTGACACGAATAGAATTGGGATTATAATTTTATCCTAGAGCTCATTGTAATGTTATAGATGTGGACTTCTCGTCCCCCAACCTCAACCATCTCTATTCAGTATTTATCAATAGGATGAGTTCACGTTTCTATGTAAAAATGTATAGACAGTTGCCATGAGGGGTGGGTGATGCTTTTTGCAGTTATGTCGAACAGCTTTGATTTGTGTTGATGTAAACCTCCCTCTCCCTCCATGGTGTAGCAGCCCCTGATTGGGGCACCCCCCTCCCACCCCAGTGATAGGTGTGTTCCTGCAATCCCACTTTTGGTTTCCTCACTGCAGCTGGAGCTGGGGTCTCCGTTCACACAGTTTGAGCTGGAAACTGATTCAGTCTTGACTTTGAGAAACCAAGTCAAAAGCAGAAACTGATGGTGAATCTTATCTTGCAGAAGCAGATTGAGACCACAGGAACCTTTAAATATCATAAAGTCACATTGACGAAGGAGGGTTTCAACCCAATGACTATCCAAGAGCCGCTCTACTTCCTCGATGACCAGAAAAGAACCTATGTCCCAATGGACCAGCAACTCTACAACAGTATCATCACTGGTCAAGTGAAACTGTGATGTGATGTCCCTGTCCTGCTCAAAGTGCCTTGATTGGCTGTTTGTAGAATTGAGAAGTTTGGACGGATTGTGTTTTCATTCTAATGTTGTGTTTCTAGGTGCAGAGAGAGTGGGTGTGGTGGGGGATGGTGGTGGTGGTGGTGGTGGTGGGGTGGGGGAAGCAGGGGGAAGAGTGGGTGGGCTGGGGGGTGCGTGGGGAGCGAGGCATGATACAGACAGACACAAAGAAACACCCTCACTTGACTCCTGATCAATTATCAAGTATTGGCTGGCCTTTTGTTGATTCTGGCTCAGTTGTGAGTTGGGGAAAATGAGAGAGGAAAACACATTGATCCAGGATTTTATTACAGTCTGTGAGTAACAATGTTGTCAGTTTGAAATGATTCCCTGGTCTGTCAGTGTCTCTCTCTCTATCGTTTTGTATTTCTGATCAACCTGACACAGATGTGTTGTGATTGAACCTTGGCTGCAACAAGGTCGTTATTCTGCTTTTTTATATTTTTATTCATTTTAAGTCTTTATTTCCTTTGTATGAGTGTCTCTCATCACTATTCACCAGTTCAAATAAGCTGTCTATCTCCCCATTCCGTCAAGGAGATATGAAGTTTTGGGTGTTCCTCTCCTTTCCTGTAGTTTTGCCCTCCCTCCCCCACAGGTTCAGGCTCTTTGTTTGATCACAGCTGCTTTATAAGTGACTCTGGAATCTACTGAAGATGCAAAATTGTGACAGGCACTGGAACACCTGCTACATGGTCAGTTTGCACAAATCATTTCCTCTCATTTTCTTCCTTTTCAACTTAATCTCCATTCCCCTCCTTGAGGGTGTTATAGTCACTGTCTTAATGTTATAAATCTGTTCTGGCAGCAACTAAACAATTGGACAAATAATGGTTCTCATGCTCAGCTCTAGCAGCAAACTCACAGAATCTGGGAAACAGGTAAAGTGGAATCACAAATCGCACAAAGGAAATTGTGAATAAAATCTCCTGCATTTTGTGATCAAATCCAAAGTGAGAGACCAGCTGTAACTGACCAATGCCATGTTAGCTACTTGATCTTGACTGTCAGTTGCTAATCAATTGCGATCAATGTTTTAATTGGTTTAGGTCAAATGCCAGAAACTAGAGAAACTGCCTGGTCATGATTCAGAATAAATTTAAATTTTGTAATAACTGTGACTGATATTTCTATTCAAGGAAAGCTCAGAATGAGATGTAAAATGGGTTTGAATTCATGGGACTTTGGCACCAGTCCTGGCAAGGAGGGATTTGTTGCGATTTATTGGTAGAGGGATTGAGTTTCGGAGCCATGAGGTCATGTTGCA